TGTGGAACGCAATTTTTCGATACTAGTATTTGCGTTTAAAAAGACGAGTTTAGGAAGTATTTTGGGTGTCAAGTACTGTTTGACTGACGTGTCTGACTAGTGCTTGACTTTTCTACTTAAACGTTCCCTATTCTGTTATAGATATATACACAATAATCTTCGTTGATTTTACCGTAATCTGCTTATCTGTAACCAAATAATATATGTAATATAGGTGACAATGGTCGGTCCGTCTGAAGTAGAAGTAGCCAGTACTGTTCAGACACAGTTTTGTAAGTCGTTCAATCTCGCGCGAAATTCTTGTCAGTCCACGGACGTGTCAATTAGAATCCATGAACTCTCAGAAGATGAAAAGCATACTATACTAGTGAATATAAAAAATATTTCCCATATTTTATACCTGCAAAGTCAGCTCTAAAGTGCCGCGCAAATATATTTCTTCATCAAGCGTGCTCGCAGAGGGTTGAGATACTGCTGCACGATGTAAACAGAAATTCCTATAATGCCGCGTTGAAAATATATCGTGCAAAACGACAGCGGTCCGATAGTTTCGCAGGTCACCGTATATCGGGTGAAAAACAGTTATCGGAGAGTTGTAGGCTCGACAAGAGGCAAAGCGCGGAGCCAGTGGCTTACGTTCGATTGAATTTTAAGCGTGGACGCTTCTGGGACACCGTTTTCTCCACTGATAAACGAGTTTGACCCAGGTAGTAAATTCCTTCCTGGATGCAGGTGTACCCAAACTACCGCCAGGACGTTGCAGCAATTTGCGAATCGAACGTACGAGGCCAAGTTTCTCTTTCCATCAGCCCGGAGCGCCTTGTGTTTTCGAGCATTCGACTTCCGCGCCCGATTTAAGCCAGGGTTCTTGGTTTGTTGGCCGATAAACCACGTCGTTTTCAGGAACGTGCGCTTTGGAAACGAATTATCCAACGAAATTTAAAAGTTGGCTTTACGTAAAGGATATTAGGATTTATTATTTATTATTTATAGAAGATACCGAGTGATAGTCTTCAATTGAGTTCGCTGAATTACCGTACATAAAGAAATGAATAAAAAAAATGAATTTCACGGTCATACGCGTGCGTCACGAGGCAAAGTGCGCGATGGCTGATTCGAGTGGTAAACTCGCCATTCGAGCCCAACGATCCGCGAGACTTTGCGAGACTAATCGCGCGGATACCGTTGCCTTTTGCTTTTGATACCGAGTACCGTTCGGAATGCTTGCGCTCCCCTTGATTTCGCCCTAAGAATGGCCCTCCAAAGGAAAGGAGGCCAGTCGTGCGCTCTTCGAGATCTTATCGAATCTTGCGAGCCACCCCATCCGTAATACCTCGCGTCACATACGTTCCATGGCGTTTAGATTGTATCTCACGACGCACAAATGAAAATCAAAACTCGACAGTTCGACCCCATCGAGATTTCCTCCGTCGCGATTTGATTTGGCACATGGCGGAAAATCATTCATAGCACTCGTGCCTGACGAAGGGGGTCGCGCTTTATTTGACTTCAATTTTGCATGTACTGCACAATTTGTATTATAATTTCCTTCCCAGGCCCTTTTCACATCAACACCGTGTCAGAGCATTCCATCGGTTGATTTACATATCAACATTTTGCTAGGCATGCTACAATTTAATCTTTGTTAACTCGTTTCCACGTCGATGTTGTAATCGGCACGTTTCTGCAGCTTTCCTTGTTGTTCTATATATCGACATCGTGTCAGTCTTTGAGAATCTAATTTTTCCGTCTCGATTTTTCCAGGGACCTCGTCCATTAAATTTCCTCTACGTTTCGCGGCATACGCTACGTCGCGTTAACGCGGTATTTGAACAAGAGGCCGCCGCTCGATACATTTTCCAATTAAAAGCCAATATTTCTGTACGGTATCGTAACGTGGCCGCGCCACGTTTCAACGATACAACCGTCTCTGTCGACGTTGCCCGTTTAACACACGTTGCACTCGCAGTTGTCGTCCCATTAAACCAGCGGTGCGCAAAGTCCGACCAGCGGGCCAATCTACCCCTACGTCCGATGAGTTTATTCGACCACGAAAGGACGAAAGTGAACGAAATACAAAATCAAACTCAGGTCAGCTGAGCGATGCAAGGAAGTCTTGAGGCGAAATATCGAAGAGAGAGACGAATAGAGTCCGTGCCGTTTTATTTTCTCGAAACTGTTCGATTCACGCTCAGGCTTGTTGGTTTGTGTGCGTAAGCGATGGGGGTAGAAACTCAGAGGGTGCCTGTGTCGACCCAAAGACCCGGGGCTCGTTTCTGACATCGCTGGCTGCAACAGGAAACTCGCATTAGCCGCGAAGGTTCCTCGACTGGTCACGGCTCGTTTCCTTCGCGAGTCCCCGGATGCGTCATAGTTATCGAGCGACGAATAAGAAGAATGGAGCGCGAACGACGGGCGGGAAATGGGGAAGAAAGCGGAACGAAGCTGGGATCCAAGGAGAAGCGCTATTTAATTTGTTGCGTAAGGGTGTTGCGCGTTCTACTACCCCATTAGGCGTGAATGGGTTCGCGAGATTTATGTCGGGGCGAGATTATCTCGAAGATAGTGCCAGATAGTCAGATAACCGCTGGAATTTTGGGGATCGCTTCTGTATCCGAGGACGAATCGAATTTATCACCCATCGACCTAGTTAACCGTAACAAAAGGGGGTGGCTATCGGAACACAAAAAAAATGAGGAGCTTGTGCTAGTTTACCATGCATTGAATGCGTACACATATTCGGCGAAGATATGGGGGTTGTTTATTAAAACGTGGATGTAATTAGACAAATATTTTGAGAGGTAATCCTTCAGTTTCTTCTTATAAATTGCACGATGTATTCCAACTTTCTTCATTATACTTCACACTCTCTTCGTATTGATATTTAGTATAGTATCGATACAGAAGCTCTTTGGTCAATAATGGCGTCTCGAGTAACTTTGCGACAGTCTTCCAAGGGCATTTTCCAGGTGCACTGTTCGGTTCGTGTCTCCGCGCGTACATTATGACTTCGACGTGACGCGTTTCTCATTATTCTCAATTAGCGACGCAGAGAATCTCCTTAATTGCGCCAAGTCGAACGAGCTTAATCGCTGTGTAACTATCTACCCTGCGGAGACTAGCAAGAAAGGAGGGCGGTGCACGGGGCCGGAGAAAGGGGGGGTTGGAAAGATACTCGCTGTGATTCGTTTAAATGTGTTCGCTCAATTAATTTTCAGGTTATTGAAGATCCAAGTGCGCGGGAGAGGGAACGCGGGTAATGGAAGGAAAATTCCCCTCTCGTTATTTAACGGGACGAGCATTCTTCTCGCGATGAGAACTACCGATACAAAAGAGCAAAATGTTTTGTTTAAAAGGCGTCGGGAAAGTAATTGGCTTTGTCGTCGAATCATTACCCGTCCAAGCAGACCATCGATCGTTCGAACATCAACGATTCGCTATCGTGTTAAACGTTTAATCATTTGGACATCGATTTAGGCACTCAACCACTGAATATTTTGTGGATATTCGCATCAAGAGCTTACAAAATGTTCAATTAGTGTATTGCATTCAAGAATATTCTTCATGTCCGTCGAGATCATTCGAGATGTTCACCTTGAATTCTCATCTCGCGACAACTGAGAAGCCTCGATAAATCAGAGAGACCGCTTCGCAGAGAGCTTGTGTCCTTCGTTCGTCCACGCATGATTTTCGTACTTGGCGCGTACGCTTTTCTCGCCAGCCAATCTGTACCCGCTTAAGAGGGCTACTTTTCTTCGCGCGCCTCTTCTAGAGGGTGGTCTACTGACCGTGGAGGCCGCGCCGCTCGCGTAGACACCACGAGTGCCGCGGCTCGTGGCTCTCCTCGTTCTTGTAATGTTTTTCCAGAATAAATGGGCTTTCCAGCGGGCGCGGTGGCGTCGGTGCCGTTGGCGGGTTCCATGGGGTTTCGTCGCCATGGCAACCCCGTAACGCCATTAAGCGGGCACAGGGTTTCCTCCCGAGCGAAGGGTCTCCGGCGTGGAAACGGGAACGCAAACCACTGGCTCCTCTCTTTCGCTCCTCGCGTGCGTGGGGTCGCTTCGAATCCTCGAGGACTCGGTCCCGGGAAGAAAGCGACCCGGGAGAACGGGAGGAAGAGAGAAACCCCATAAAAATAAATAACTCGCGAGCCTACCGTGCATAAAGGTGATACGAGACCCCTTCTGGTTTTTCACCCACCTCGACACCGTGATGTGGTCAACGTCGGAGGAAAACCTCGCGGTGGCTTCAAACGCGTGGTAGCAAACGTCGGGAGAGTAAGGTTGAAGGGTTGTGTCTACCTAGAGACCTTGAAAAAAAAAGAACATAGAATTTTGGAAGAAGTTTGTGTTGTTTCAAGAGATATCATACACGTGAAAATGACAAAATACAACGAAAGAAACTGCTGGTAACGAAATTGAAATATAATTCGGAGTGCAAAGGGTTAACGAAAATATACGAATAACTTAAGGGGACGTCGGCTGAAGTCGTATTTTTCTTTTCGGAAGCCATCGAGGAGCAAGGGTAGTAGGTTTTGAGAATAAATAAAACGTTCTAGATGTCGGAGCCAGGATGGATGAATAACCAAATTGCATTATCGTCTTTGTTCCGCGAGGACTCGTTCCTATAAAGAAACCAATTCTATCGAATGGTAGAGAGAGACAAACCCCATAAAAATGAATATCTCGAGAGCGTACGGCGCGCAAAGGTGATACCAGTCCCCTTCTGGCATTTTTTCCCCTCCGTCTGTCAACATCGAATGGCGACTCGGTCATCGTGGAAGAACCTCGTGTTAGACGACGTTAGGTACGCGATAGCAAACGTTATTCCACGCGACGGACGCATAAAATGAGAACACTATCGAGGGTGGCCCGACACGATCGGGCTCTGTGCGTTTGCGAACTCTATCCGATACCCAGCTCCGCGTGAATGGTCGAGATATCGAGATCACGCGAGTTACGTCGGGAAACGAGTATCGATCCGCTTATTTTTTTTATCGCGAGTACGGGAAGTGCAGCTCACTAGCGGAGAGCAACAGGAAGTATACAGATTTGATTTTGCAGAGAGCAAAAGCATGGATATACTGTTTTCATACTGTTTTAGTTGTTTTGTCGTAGCAAACGTTCCATCGTGAAACAGCACCGAATGCGCAACTTCGAATTCGTAGAGTTTCAAGATTTTAACTGCCCTCAGGGGCTGTAGCTATGATCGATTGTAGCTGCAATACGAGCTTAGCGACCCCGAGGTACCCGAGCTATAGGAAGGCCAGTGGGCCACGATGGACATGTAAAGAATGTAATGTAGGAAGTTAAGGTTTGATGTAACACATCATTTACTATGAGTAACAACATGTATAAGAACGTGTACAAGACTGGCGATTTGTGACAAGCAAGACTGGACCAATAGGTGCAATAACTAATATGAAACGGATTACGTCACCTTAGAAAATAAAGAAAGAAACAAGCATAAGATTGTAACATTAGGCTTCGATATACAATCTTTGCAAGGGACTGAATCAACTCTAATTGAAACGATCCGTAAACATACGGAGAACCAGTGTTTGCACAATGGTCAGCGAAACAGTACACGTGATATCGAGCGCTATTTATCGCAGTCGAGTGGAGAAAGTTATGCTTGCTTGTAAACAGCTGAGTGGACTCGCACCTAGTCGTATATCGTCTCAATTATTTGCAAACATTTGAACGACAGGCAAGGAGAAGGCTCATTAAAGGAGAAGTTTTCAGTGCACGCCTAACCGTTCAATTTCGGGAAGCTGCGTGCTCCCGATCGCTTCCACCGTGAGAAGCATTTATTTCCGGCATGCGGTGCGAAAGAACGATGTGGGGGCAAGGCGGAAGGAAATCGATAGAACAATTACAAAAGTTTCGTATCCTTCGTCGACCTACGTAATCCGGCTTCGAAAGTTGGCGCATTCGAAGCACGCTTGCCAACTCCTGGGCCAATAATCGCGCGTCAAGTGACTCCTTCCTCGAGGGCCGCCATCTTCAGGGTGCACACGCGTTCTATCCGTAATTCTTCGATCCGTTTCTGCGCGTGTACGATGTTGATTCAAAGTGGCAGAGATTCAGTCGTTTAATGTCTAGTAGAACGTCGATGCAGAAGTAGAATGACAAAGGTTATTCAGAAAATGATATTTAATTCTTTGCATTCGGATGTCTTCTCTAAGGGGGCGTTGGAAATTCCTTCCTTTCAGCACATTCAGCAACAAAATGGCTCCGAGTACAAAGGGTTAACTTATCCTCTTTAATAAATTATACTTTGTTTGGAAAATACTCGCGTCTTGTCCCAGTTTTTGGGACACCGAGTAGCTTCACTTCGATCTGTTAGATAAGCGCCATATTTCTTTCCTCTCCTCGATGCCATCGGACGAGAACGAGGGAGGGTGACGCTTTTTCCGGCTGTATCGTGTCGTTGGGGGGCCATTTGGCCATTTAAACGGGGGTAGGGGGGTGCGTCGAGGAAGAGTGCAAATAGACCCGAACGAGTCCGCGGGTTCGAGTGACATCGTAATAATAATTTCATGGCTGCGAGGGGGCGGAATCGATACGGGGTGCGGCGCGTGTAATCGAGGAAGCCGCTTATCCGCCCTGTTGCGAAACAATAATCCGACAAATAATTGGTCGATAGGTGTTACGGCTGTCCGGTCAATCTCTCCAGCGCGGGCTATAATTCGAGCGTCGAATCGCGTTACAATCGCGATTAAACGTCTATTAGCGCCGCCGCGCCGCCTGTCAGCGTCGTATCCGGCGACATAATAGATTAAACTATGCAGATTCCAACAATGGACCCGGCCGAAAGAATGGGTCGAGCTTGTGGGAACGCGCAACTGACGCGTGCCACGTGTGCACACATTGCTCCAATTTCAGAGATCGCTACCCGATCTACACACGGGGCGTCCATGTCACAGTTAAGTAGGGGACAAATGAAAATCGTTTAAAGCGAGTAAAGCGCCTATTTTTTTTTTTGTACAGTTAGTAAAGATTGACAATTCCAATACGTCAGAAAACGAATTTAGCATCTCGACCTTTCGTTTTTCTCTCTCCTCACATATTAATTTCTTACCACCCAGATCTTCCCCTTCTAATACGAAGCTGAGAAGACAGATCCCTTCCTAAACTCCTACACCCTTCCGCATAGCAATCGCTGACACCGACATCATCGGGATCGAAGCGTTCGGCAGATGCGTTCTATCGTCGCAAGAAAAACTCGACGAGACTGAACTCGAATTGATTCGTGACGGTGGCCCGATTTCGCTATGAGTCGGGGGGGTATAAAGCGCAACGCTAAGACGATAATAGAATTTTCATGTAATCCTTAGTAATTCCCTTGCGGTCGCGCAGGAACCCACGGACAGGGACCCTTGGCAAACCCCCTGGGACATATAAGCGGGAACCAGGCGGATGCCCCCTGCTTTTAAATCCCCTCGAGGGTTAATTGCTCGGTGTTTTGACGCGCGAGTTATCCGCAAAGGGTTTTTGCGGCCAGCCACGGCGGCGGTCTGGGCCCTGAACAATTTTACGCGGCATTGTTTTACAACCTGCCGCAGACTGACGCTTTCACTTATATGCAAAAACTGGACGTGTGGTTATTCGTTCTTGTTTAGTTTTGACCCGTGAACGTGTGAACTTATTCAGAGCAGAGGGAGTGTGGAAAGTACCGAGTGTCTCGCATTGGAGTGTGGGGTGGAAGCTCCAAAATAGTGGACTGTTGAATTATCAGGAGAAATCTCGTTACTTTGTTTTAAATTAAACAATTTACTGTTGCAATTCAAATGAAATGTGTTTATGTTCAGCACGTTTACTACGTTATTACGTCGGTTTGGACTAGCAACCGATGTTTCGACCGTTTATGACCCAATTATAGTCACGTGGAAGACGAGCTGATTGTCGTACTGTATCTGAACTAGGGGTAGGGACGTAACAGATGCAGTACATGAACATGTTACCAGATATATCGTATGGACCAGGAGTAGCGAGGTTAGCATGCTTGAGAGCATGCTACAAGGCACTAAGATTGAACGGGCTGGTAGGAGTTACACTAACAGGGAAATATTCGGTAACCCTACGATTTTTAACACCGCGAGTTTCTGGGTTAATTGCAGGTTTCAACAAAATTCCATAACCTACCGTTCTTCGTAAATAAAAGCCTCGATTTTACGATAACAGCGTTTAGCTACGGTGGCTTAGGTCATTACCATGAAAGGTGGCCGGGAATCGCATTACAGGTTCGCGTAAGTCGCGTAATTGGCGATAATAAATTAATAACGCGTCGCCGTCCGTCACGTAGACAGGACGATGCGCGCGTATGCACCGACGCGTGTACTCAAGCTCGTAAGGGTGCGGTCCAGGCGGTCGCGCGGGCTCTCGCCGCAGCCAATTACCGTTCCCTCATTAATCCGTTTAATTGCGGATTACGCGAAAAGTCTGTTATAGCCTTACGACACGCGTCACCGCTTTCAACTTGGCCGTGTCGCTGGGATCCCAGGCGCGATCGAACGAATTAACCCTTCCGTAACTTGGTGGCAAGCGCACTTTGTCTTCCACTTGCTTCCCCATTTTTCATTAGGTTTTCTTCGGCGTTTCTCTTCTCACATCCTCTTTAGCATTTACAACGTGATGCGTGCGATTTGCGTGCGATAGGAAAACGTAACAGTCTGTAACACTTCGCTGAAAGAGAATAGCAGACGCTTTTAATTCGTCCCGATCGAGGGTCGCAAAATCTTTAGCGGCCAGGTAAACAGACCGAACGAGAATATTTCAACAGTCCATGTTTAACGAACACTCGAAAATCGGCCCTTTCGTAAAATCACGTCGCTGTTTTTTCCCTGTCGTCGAAGTTTCGCCCTCTGTCGGGTATCGGCTGTTTCGATGCTTTCGCGATCCGATGGAGTTCTCGAGCAATTAGCCTCGTTAAGGAGCCCAGAAAGAGGGACGCTCCAGCTCGGGGTCGCCTTTGTTCTCGGCTGGAGGGGGGCGGAAGGTGCGAGGTACAAGATGCGATGGCGAAGGGCGCCGAGGAGAGACAGGGCTCCTCAACTTCGCAATAAATAGCTTAATTTCCTTAATTAAAATCCCTCCGTTCGATCGGACGCCGCTAGATAATAATTCAAGACTACTTGTCCTCTGTTTCCTGTCCGTGATGTTGCTACAGTTGCGGGAAATCCCAAAAAGGCTGGTTGAAATTAGGGGACAAAATTCCCTCATCTGTATTCTCATGTTTGGTCTCCTCAGGACTCGTAGCGTTTATCAATCGTAACGTATCCTCTCGTACTCTTAATAAACCTCAATCACAGCAAAGCAAGATCGTGCTCGATTCGAGAATGCTCCTCTGTTCCCTTCGAGACGTAACAGTACCACTGAACCACCTCGAACCACGTTCAACGTGGTCTGCACCTTCCGCTTTCGGCTTGTGATTATTGCGAGCTCCGGGGTGCTTTCAGCGATGCGCGTTCACCGATACGTACAATTCGTCGTACTTTGACTGTCGAGCGCCCTTTTTTACGAGCAATTATGCACTCATTGAAAGAGAGACGGAGCGTGGGCGTAGGGGTGCGCAAATGAACAGAGGAAGCGGAGGACGAAGTCGGAGGATAACCCCGCCGTGCGACAGAGACACTCGACGATGATGATTATCGCGGAGTTAATGAGAGAGCGGTAATTGGTTGTGGCAAGCCGGCCACGCGGCTGACCAGCCACCGATCGTTCGCCACGCTCACCCAAGAGCTCTGGGCGCCGATCGTCGCGCTGAATATTACAGGGCACGCGCGTCTGCGTGGGAGGCGCGTCTCTCCGTGTATCACGAGGTAATTGTCGGAAAATACGGTGGTTTAGCGACACCTCGGGCAGGTCAGGGACGCGTGTCAGCCGGCGTTTATTGCGGCCTCCAAATCCGTGATAGCGCAGGTATATACGGGCTAACAGTTTGTGAAAATAAACGGCTCCAGTTCTATCGGGCTAATTTCCCTTCGTGATTCTTTCAACGAAACGAATG